GGATCTGTGGGTACCAGGGGTGTCAGCCATGGGGGCATCAGGCGCGGGGTTCTGTGGGTGCTGGGGGGCTCTGTACCAGGTGTGGGGGCACCATGGATGGGGGGCACCGGCAGCTGGGCACTCCAGGGTGGGGCTCTGTGATGCTGGGGGTACTGGGCAAGGGGAGGCTGGGGGCACTGGGAGATACTGGGACCAGCAGGACTTACTGGGGGCATCAGAGCTGCCAGACTTAGCTGGGAGCTGCTGGGGTTACTGGGGCTGCCTGGGCATTTTGGGATCCTGGGGCTGCTGGGCATAGTGGGTCTGAAATTGCTGGTATTACTGGGATTACTGGGATGGATTATTGTGGCTGCTGGGCATACTGGCACTACTGGGGCTGCCAGGACTCCGGGGGCTGCCTGGGCATACAGGGACATGCTGGGACTACTGGGTTTGCCTGGGCATATTGGGATCCTGGGGCTGCCTTGGCATGCTGGGACTACTGGGAATGCTGGGCATGGTGGGGCTCCCTGGGCAAACTGGGGGTGCTGGGAGGGCTGGAGTTGGTGAGGAGTGAATGTCCCCAGCCCCGGGGTCCCCAGCCCCAGGGTCCTGCCCGTCCCTTGGATTTGGCCCAGTCCTGGGGTCTGTGGGTGCTCTGTGGGTGCTCTGGGGGGCTCTGTGGGTGCTCTGGGGGGCTGTGGTCCCTGTCCTCCCGCAGCAATGGGGGGGTGCCGGCAGAGGGGGGGTTGTTTACAGGAAACCCTCTGCTCTGGCCGTGTCTCCGGCACCGGATTGCCGGGACCTCCCGGTTCCGCTCGGCTCGGAGAGGCGACGGGCAGAAGCCGCCTCATTTCCCCTTCCCCTCCCGGCCAAGCCCAGGAAGCCCCCGGCGCCTTGGCACGACCCTGCTGTGTGTCCCCGGGACCCCCGGGCCAGCAGCCAGCACCAGGAGCCCCCATCCCATCCCATTCCGCCCCATTCCACCCTATCCCTCCCTGAGGCATCGCTGGGATCCCACATGCCCAACACGGGGGCACAAAGCCAAGTGGCTGATTTGGGGAATGGAAGCGGGATCCCGAGCCAAACCTGGTGTGGGCTTTGCCCCGGGTGGGCACAAGCCTGG